ATAATCTTATAAAACAAGTGTACCACAGCTTTCACCCACCTGCTCCGCATCATTAGAAACAGAAGGATGCTGACAAACGACTCCATGACGTGATGCTCTCATCATGTATGTGCTGTCACTCTGAGGACGTATGACCAATCACATATGTGTGTGTGTGTGTGTGTGTGTGTGTGTGTGTGTGTGGTCAGCACGTGACACACTGCAGCCACAGCTCCACATGCTCCTGCACTGTGTTAATATGCTGAGTGATAATAATCCCTCATGGCTGCAGCATCTCCTGCGTCACTGCTGCACAGAGAAAACAACATAACAACGGCTGCATCTGTTCACATGCACAATCCCTGCATCTGTGCAGGAGACGCTGCCCAGGCCTCGTGCAAAGGTCCACACACACGCACACGCACACAGACACAGACAGACACACACACACAGAGAGGCTGCTGCTGCTGGCGAGAGAGGGGCTTTGTTGGCATATCCTCCATATGCTGCCTGCTCCGAACCTCCATCCAAAAACAGCCTTTCTTGGAGGGCGCTGCTTTTCTAGCATGAATGTTCAAAGATACAATCACACTTAACACCTGTTTTGAATCATTGTGATGTGAGGAGTCATTCGGCGCGTATATTATACACAAAGTACTGTTTACTACATTTCAAGGCCCGTGTGTTTGTGTGGCTCGCGTGTTGTCCCGTCATTAGCCTAACGTCAAAATACACGCGAGCTGAGCGCTGTGCTCGCAAGAAATATTGGATTTTAATTTGAATGAAGCGAAGTTTGATTCATCATTCATGAGCCGAATCATACAGAAGACCTCGAGGAATGCGAATCTCTATGAATTTGCGGCCTTGGATGTGTTTACTTCTGCGAGGACGCACGGGAATCTAAAACAGCCAGATTTACAATGGGGTTCTGCGTGGCGTTCTTTCCGGAGTCGAGCGGGCGGTTATCGGGGGTTTTGTCCCAGTTCCGGTGGATCGTGTCGGTCACATTCGGCGCAAACTGACGGTGACGGCGATCAGCCGCAGCGGGCCGTGCTGGAACGTGTCACCGACCGGTTCGGGACCCGGAGGCCGGCGGATGGTTCGCCAGGCCCCGCTGCTGCTGCTGCGCCGCGTCGCTTCCTGGAGCCTCGCACACACCGACACAATGAAACAACAGCAGCCGGAGAACAGGCCCGAGGAGCCGGGAGGAGCCGGGGCTCGGTGCGGCCTCTGCCCGTCTCTCATACCTTGTGTCGCGGTCTGGAATCGCTCCTGCGTCCGTTAGGATCCGAGGTGGAGACGCTCCATTGTCCTGCAGCTGCTGATTCCTCCTCCAGAGGGAGAACACACACTGAGTCTCCACTCCTCCCTCATCTGCTCTCATCCCTCCCTCTTCCTCTCCTCCTCCTCCTCCTCTTCTGCTCCTCCCTCATCATCTGTTTTCATCCATCCCTCCTCCTCCTCTTCCTCTACTCCTCCAGCATCATCTGTTTTCAACTAGGCCTGCTCCTCTTCGTCCATTCCTACTCCTCTTCTCCTCTTCTCCTCTTCTCCTCCTCCTTTTCTCTGCCTTTTTCAATGCACTTTACTTTTGCACAGAATTTACATAGATTAAAAAAAGGGTTGAGGAGTCAAAGGAGGACAAATGTCAGTGTTCGATCATCCGCAAACTCTTCTGGAGTCTCGGGTGTCAACAGCTTCGCAGCCGAATCCAAAACAGTTGAAGTGAATAGTGACCATGTCTCCATTCTGCTCCTGTGGTGTCCTCCAAGTGTCCACAAGACCCGACATTCCACTTGGACAGACGTCTTTAGCCTAACTGTCCTCTCTGGATATCGGTAGCATCGCTAACAGACCCTTGGATGACACCTCAGGATTTTCATTTTTCGGGTGAACTATCCCGTTAAAGGCCCTCGAGTGTCTTTCTGTCTCATTTGCGAGTCGTCCTCGAACTCTTCCACGATATTCTGTCGCTTCCTATTGTTTGTGCGCAGAACTTTTTTCTAAACAGTCTGTGGTTCAGAGTGGAGTCGGAAAACTTTGTGTTCATCCTACCTGGTTTATCTGCAGCGGAGATTTTATATAAATCATGAATCTGATCTGTTTATTTGCTGTTTACGTGTGACAGTTATATACGAGTTTGAATGATTCACTGAACTGCTGTTATTATATTCGTATGCTAGTGCAGCGCCCGTTCTACACCTGCCTGTTAGCTTCTCACAATTTATTTTATTTTATTTTCACACTGATATGAAACAAAGCCGACCAATAACTAGAGTTATAATTTAAGTAGCTTCTCCACTTGTTCTTTAAATAATCATTGTTCAAATCATGTTTCACATTTTTCACCTGAGCCACGGTCTGACATGGAGATGAGGCGACCTCTGCTGGCCACACCGAGTAAAAGCACATGTGCAAGGTTCTTTATAAGGTCTCTGGGTGCACCACAACTTTTGATGCAGCTTTTTAAGTGTAACTGCAATAATCTAAAATAATAAGATTCCATCCATCAAATAAACCACTTATTATTAATAATTACGATAATAGTACATATGGAACCTTTCAATGCACCCAAGGCTGCTCAACAGACCTAGGAAACGAGAATTAAAGGAAAATGTCATGTGGAAATGTGATCACCAGTAATAAATAAACTACTCGTCCAAAGCCTTTGTGAACTGGTGGCTTTCAAGGAGGGAAACATAAATACCAGTAACACTAATGGTAACACCTACTGGTTCCCTGATCGCCTCGACTTCTGAATGCATTTATTTTCCAGTCCTATATATTTATTTTATGATTTTCAATCGTCGGTTTCATTTAATTATTTTATTCTCGATCAAATTGTTCTCCACGGTGAAAATGATTGAGCAGTATATAAAGTAAGACCTGAAACTGTTTGCGAAGCTGTAGTAGAGAGATGTGGCCAGAAGAGGGCAGCAGAGGTCAGAGCAGGTATTACACTGAAGCAAACCTGTTAACGTTTGATATCATGTTTTTTTAAAGTCCCACATAAACGCTTATTAAATATTATCCCAAACTTTAAAATGTTGAAAATAAATCTTGTATTTTTTTTGTGTTTTAATAATCCTGACATTCGTCTCATGATGTCAACATGTACACGTGTAAATCACATGATAAGGTAACATAAACATGCAAACAGGAATATTTAGTTTCTCATGCAACTCATGTAAATGTCATAATTGAAATGATGACGTCAGTTGTCACAACATTTCCGTCACTGATGCATAGAAAGCAAAGACCGACATGAAACGATGAACCAGTTGAAAATGCTTTAATCACTTTAACCCCCCCCCCACATGAAGGTCAGAGACAGAGAAGTTGGTTTATAGACACAGAAGCACACGCAGCGAGGGCACGGCCACATGAAGCGAGTAACACGGGTCAAAGTTCACCAACGTTGAACTCCATGCTGCGATTGGCCTCGCCACAGGAAGCAGATCTTTTATTCGCCTCCTCGCTCTCTCGCTCGCCGCTGTGTTAAACCTGGAAAACCACCTCCTCTTCAACACCTGAGCCACATCAGTGTGGCTGTGACCACTGCAGGTTATTTAAAGCCGAACTGAAAGTGTTTTTCATTGCAGCGAATTGTCAAAATAAGTAAAACCTCAAACAGCGGCCATCAAATCTCAACACACGAAGGAGGAGGAGCTAAAAACTCTAAAGAAGAAACCTACGATAACGTCAGAAATCTTTCTGTGATCATTTATCTGTTCATACACTCACTGTGTGAGTCCCCAGGTCCCAGGAGGGACAGAGAAAGCCTCACACATGTCAACTCAAACCCAAATTAAATCTCCATCCGTCACCTCAGGACACTGGTCATGTCCTCTGTCTGTCCCGGTCGTCTCTGAGCATCACACAAGACGCACTTATAACATCCCTCTGACCCCAACGCCCTCAGCTTCACTTCTCCTCACCCAATCTGCACCCTCTCCCTCTCAGGTTGTTCTACGTCTCCCTCCCCACCCACCGGCCTCGTTGACCCCGTCTCCCCCCCCCCCCCCCCCCTCAGCGCTCAGCTGCTGACGATGTGTCCGGACCAGGTCTCGTGTTTGCTTCCCGGGTTGAGATGGGTGATGGTCACCTCCACCGCCTGGACCTTCTCGTACTTGGGGGGAATGGAGCAGACCTTGTAGCTCACCTCGTCGCCTTCCACCGGCACATACTCGCCCTCGATGCTGGAGGAGAGGGAGAGATTCAAAATCAGTCACGACACAGAAAAAGAAAACTGGCTCCGTTTTCCATTAGCACCGACGCTAATCTGAGGCTACATCCACACAACTGCGTTTTAGTTTGAGAGCAACGAGTGGACGTGGAATCTCTCCTTTAAGACGACATTTACATAATTTACATAATCATGAAACACAGCAGTACAAGTGTGTGTGTGTGTGTGTGTGTGTGTCTCTGTGTGTGTGTGTCTGTGTGTTTCTCTGTGTGTGTGTGTGTGTGTGTCTCTGTGTGTGTGTGTGTGTGTGTGTCCTCCTCTCCCATGCAGAGGGTTGATGACTCTATTCATAACATTTTCTAAAGGACCTGATGAGTCACAAGAACATATAAAAGAGAGATAGATAAAAGATGTTTTTGATATTTCACTCTTCTTTCTATTTTCTGAAGGACGTCACCACTATACAACCAACCCCCCCCCCCCTACAATAATTACAGTACACACACACACACACACACACTTACTCTGAGATGTGGACAAAGATGTCGTTGCCTCCGTCCGATGGTGTGATGAAGCCGTGGCCTTTTGAGCGGGAAAAACATTTACACACTCCAGAAAACACTGGACCCTCCGATGCCCGAGCCGTCCTTTACAGAGAGAGACAGACGGAGAGAGGGACAGGGGACATGGGTAATATGATTTAATGTGTATTTATATATATATATATATACTATGAAACTCAGCCGTGGGGGACAAACAGAGATGCATTCATTCCCATGAGAGATGCAGGCACGCAGGCTTTTGTCTGCAATTACACACAACACATGCATGAACGGTTTCCTATGAATCCATGTGAACCGTGTGAACGCAGCGCAGGACGAGCAGGGACGGAAATAAACCTTTAAAATGAGAAGATGCGAGACGAAGAATGAATTTGGGTGAAATAAACCTGTGAGAGGTCGTGAGGTGGAACTGTCACGAAAACACGAGGTCCCTGAAAAGTGTCCGTGGAAACTATGATCCTGAAACTTTGGCTCCAGATGTAGAGGAGGACATTTTCTGTTAAGGCCCCGCCCCCTCTGACTGTAAGGCACCATTCGCCTGTTTGATCAAATTTCATCAATACTGAACGAAGCTCGTGTCCAAAACATGAGAGCAACATGTGGACGGACAGAAAGTTTCCATGACTTTGCAGTTTGTCTCAAGTACAGGGAGGACAACTAATGACGTGTGTGTGTGTGTGTGTGTGTGTGTGTGTGTGTGTGTGTGTGTGTGTGTGTGTGTCTGTGTGTCCTCACGCTGAGCAGGTCCTGTTTCTGCGGGTGGGCAGAGGGCTGGGGATGAGGTAGCCTCTCATGGGGGAAGGTGAGCGGTCTCTGTGTCTGCAGCCTGGAGGGTGCAGGGACTCTGATGGGACAAGGAGACACGTGACATGACATCACAGCAGTTGAGAGTTTTTAGTTACGAGTCGTTCGCTCTGTTCACATCATAGTTTCTATTTGAGTCCAGATCCACAGAGGACACAGAGCAACCTTCACCACAGACGCTGGTGAAATGATCCGTATCTGTGCAGTTCCTCTACATTTTGACTCGAAGCAGATGAAAACAATATTTCTTTACTTGGAGACACTGGAGAGCGCGGAGATCCTGCGGAGGTCAGCGGAGGGGTCACCGGCCTTGACCCCTGGATGGGCGTGGCCGGGGAGGACATCTCTTGGAGTTGGAGTCACAGTTTAGGAAGGAAGGAAGGAAGGATGGAAGGATGTAAGGATGGAAGGAAGGGGAGGGAGCGTCTCTGCTGAGGTTGTTAAACACCTGAAAGGAGCGAGATAAGACGAGAGATGAGACGTCTTTGAACCAATCACAGCAGCACGCCCACATCCTCCTCGTTACACACACACAACACACACACACACACACACACCTAATCATGTCAGCTTGAGGTAAGTGTTAATTAAAAACGTGTTATTTTCCAGCATCATCCCTCCTTCAGCCCTGAAGGACGACACCCACCAAAAAAACTGAGTCAGTGACCTCCTAGTGGCGTTCTTAGAAATCCCATTACCATGGCAACCACACTTCTGTGGACAGGCCGACGCCGCTCCGACCTCCACGGAGACGGGGAAAGGAGAACGGCCCATTTATTCACCCCACCACGGGTCTTACATCATCAGTCGTTACATCACCGGCTGTGTCAACCGATCGGGGACCAGCAGGAGAGGAAACCTCCAGAGATTCATCCTTTCCATCACTTCCTGTTCGAAGAGGAGACGTCTCATACAAGTAAACAAGGACGGACGCACCGGGAGCCGCTCAGTGAACTCAGTGTTTCTCAGTCTGTGCAGCCGATGATCTGTTCTGCAGGTTCCCAAGAAAATAGATTTAAAGGAGATGTGTCCTGCTCATGTTTAGATTTTTATTTGAAAATGTTTAAACACTTTCCTCAGACCGTCCAGGTCATAAACCACACCTCCTCCTCCGTGTCAGTGAACAGGTGATAAACCACACCTCCTCCTCCATGTCAGTGAATGGGACGTGGACACAATCAAAAAGTCAAAATAGCAGTTAACAGCTGAGACTGACCAGGAAGTTGAATAGAGCTCGTGTATCAGCGGCTCAGGAGGACACACACACACACACACACACACACACACACACACACACA